CCCCCAGTGTCAACACAGAGGTGTTCTGAGACATTTGTGCTCTTTTGTGGCATTCTGAGATTCTCGGAATAAGATTGTGGTAGCCATGTGTATCGGCAATCTTCTCAATGTGTGTTAACTCTTCCCTAAGAGCCTCTTGAGTAGATGAATAAGTGTATGCTCTTCTAACCAATGATCTAAAAGCAGCTAATTTGTATTGGAACGGGTCAAATGAGTCACTCGGTATGTATGTGGGGCTTGCACATGGTTTATGATAGACAGTAGTGTGGATGTTGGGTCCCTGAATCCTGATATCAACATCTAAGAAATGAACATTAGTGTCGCTGTATTGATCCACTTCAAGTGACAGCCATAGGGATTATCATTCATCGCTTCAACAAACTGTGCCAAGTTTGGTGTTGTTTTCCATATAATAACAACATCATCTACGTATCTTCTATATAGCATGATGTCCTGATTTTAACATTATTGATCCACTTCAAGTGACAGCCCATAGGGATTATCATTCATCGCTTCAACAAACCGTGCCAAGTTTGGTGTTGTTTTCCATATAATAATGTGACAATCTGACGGTGTTCTTGAGATAATTAATATAATTTTAACGTAATAAATAATATATTTGAATTTCACTCAACTATATAAAAAGAATGATAAAATTTGGAATAATTAATAAAACATAACCTAATAAAGTTATAAATTTTTACATCCTGTGAAACTGCTCTGTCATGTAGCACTTTTTCTAGAACTGAGGATGTTTTGCTTCCTTCCTCCACGCCTCGTATCTTGGAATTTTGCACGCCACCTGCTGAAATGTCATAACCAATTTCTAAGAAAAATATTATGAAATAATTGGGGATAAAAGGGCTGATTAGCAGACTCTCGGGGAGTTCGTTCAGAAATTGCCATAGTGAGAGCTCCCAGTCAAACGACTGAACCTGTCCCGACTCCACCTTCCTTCGAAGAGATCAACAAGGGTCAACATGAACAACGAGGTAATATGATTGTAAACCCCTCTCTCTCGGGTTAGATTAATTTAACATAGAGATAAGATTCATCCATACCTAGGTATCCCCCATATTGTTATTACTTTGTATTATGTTATTCCTTTATATCCATTATATTGTAGTATTGTTAGTAATAATTAAACTGTTAATTTTATATTTAATGTCCTTCTTGTCTAGTATTCATTACTTATGCACAACCCACACAGAATCTTACCACTCGGGTTCTGAGAAAAATTAAGCCATCCAGTGACAAAGTGAGCAGGTCTAACAGATCTGACGACTGGACCCTTGACCCTCGTCCGTATTCTCACAATAACAATGTCATCTACATATCTTCTATATAGCATCATGTCCTGCAAGAATCTTGGAAAGGTCCTAGACTCGAGTTGTCTCACCATTAACTCACATAAGTCTCTGGACACCAGACTGCCTATCAGGACCCCTCTCGATTGTGAATATGTTATGAATAAGAGAACACAAATCAGACACAATACAACAGAGCCACCAAGTCACTCTCAGTATATGCTTCTGACCCAGGCATTACTGTGGACTTTGAAGGCGCAGTGCTAATAGTCAAAACAACATGGATGGACCACCTCAAATGGCTGGAGGCTGTAAAGATATAGAAGGTGCACACTTCATCTGAGTGCATTAATTCTTGGGAGGAAATGGCTCTTTCGTTGGCTTTGGCAGGCCTTATTGCATAAAGATTCTTAAGGATTTATTTAATAACAGATGATGCACGGGGACATGTAATATCAAACGTAAGAATATTGCATCGTATAGGAAAAATACATGCGTATGAGAAGAATTAATGCGAATCTGAACAGCGGGGAACAATGCGTGTGCAATGGGCACTGGACAATCGAACTATCATTGTTAGATTTATTTTAAAAACTTTGTGACGGTGCTCCAGAAGAAAGAATACAGCTAGATTACCTGATGAAGAACACAGAAGGTGTTCAGAAAACATTTGTTGTTTTGAATTTTACCTTTTTCACACTGGTTAGAGGCTTGAGTAAGTTTGAATTTTTTCTTATTATAGTAATATTATAGCATGAATATGCTAAAAAGTGAAATAAAAAATTATCAGGAAAAAAATAAATTAAGAAAAAAAAGCATTAATTAAAAATTTTTAAGTCAACAAAACACCACCTGGACAAAAACATGTGAAACTGACGATAGACAATTTGCTGCCATCAAGTGCTGACATCTGTTGTTGATAAATTTTTAAAAAATTTATTTTTACTAGGATGCCTATAAATCAGTACCTTCATGGTTTTGCTTAACAATGGGGTACCGACCGATCAGTACCCTCGAGAAGAAAGGGTTAACTGTTAATTACTGAGGCCAATACTCAAACAAGGCAAATTTACAATTTTTCAATTTGTTGTTTACATAGCAGTGTAGGATGACATCAAACATACCTTTGGTCATCTTCCTCATCTCAGTCAGAATTTCTTTTTTGGTCTTATTTTTCTATCTGTCCAAGAGCAGTTTCCAAAATTCCTCAACTTGCCAGCTAGGTGCAGCAGTAATGCCTCTGTTGAGAAAATTCTCAAGATTGTACATTTTTAATTTCTTTTAAATAGTTTTTTTTGTTTTAAAATAGTACAAACCATAGAAGAACTTAGAGAAGGTTTGATGCAAAGATTTTTAACGGTGCTCTCAGCTTTATAACTACTTATAATTTTGTACTTTTTTTCTAAAGTTATTGATTTCTATTTTTTTTTTTTTTTTTCCATATCAGTAACAGTATCATCTCTTATGTTAGACATGTTGAAAGAATACATAAAATACTTAAAAGCACAAAAATAATAAAAACAAACTTATACACAAGCTACAAACAACAATACGATATCTGCTTTGAACAACGACTTATTAAGAAAACGGTCATTCACTAACTCATGCCTATGGAAATATTTCATTAATACCATCTCCCCAATGCAGTAATTAGTCAGATTGTAAAGCTGGAAACTCATAAAGCTGGAAATACTTGTATATATAATGAATATATAATGTTTGTATGTATATATGGAAAAAGTTTTAAATTTAAATATTTAAAATGATAGAATATGGATTGAAATGTATAGATATTTCATATCAACTACAATTGTTACATTTTTCAAAAATGCCACAAGTTGGTAAAATTGATGATGTAAAAACAAAGACTCTGTAGGCAATAAGGAGTTATGGTATTTATTGATAATCAAAATATTACAATCTTTTATAAAATTTTCATTAACTCAATTTTTATTATAAACTATTATTTTAAAACCACATTGACAAGAGGTTCTTGTATTTTTAAAAATAATTTTTATAATAACAGCTTCCAATCTGAATACAGTGGTGCCTTGTATAATGTACACCTCGAATAACGGACGTTGCGAACAACAGACTTTCCATTCAGCAGTTACGTTAGGTGAACAATGGACTTTCTGCCCAAGTGCGAATGATGTTTCCACTCTTTTGCTGTTGCCAATGACAATCTGCTATTTTTATAATATATTAATATTATTAGAATATATTATTAGTACAGTAGAGCAGCGATTATCCGACCCCCGATTAACCATCACCTCGGTTAACCGACCGCGTTCTAGTTGGCAAATTTAAATGTCCGCTAGTGATGTGGCGCTACAATATTTGGCTATGTCTTGGCTACTTTAATATTATTTTTACGTGTTTTAGCTGGCAACACTGGATCGACCATGAAAGGGACCCAGTATTTAAACGAGGTTTAATTTTCTAATTTTTAACAATACAATAGTGATGATTATTATTTTAAAAAAAATTTGATAGGCTTAACATGGAGGAAAATTCAATGTGAAGTAGGTTAATAGCGATATACTAATATACTAATTACATGGGATATAATAATATACTACACTAATACTGGATTTTTTCATACTTTTCGGTTATCCAACTTTTCAATTATCCGACCAACCCCAGTCCCCAATTGAGTCGGATAAATGATGCTTTACTGTATATCTGAAGTACAGAGCTCCCGTTGGGATTCGGCTTGCTCCCTTGTTTAGTACGTACATCACCTTAGTGCAGGATATTTACATTTATTCAAGTGTTGTGCAAATCATGGCTTCTAAAAAAACAGAAAGGTGATTTCAATTGAAACAAAGCAAGAAATCATCAGAAGGAATGAAAGTTGACAGAAACTTCATTGTCAAATGGGGACAGGTTCAGGAGTTTACCAACACTCATTATCCAAACACAGTTGAGGCCAACAGGATTAATGATCTCTACAATGACACCCTTGCCTGTCATTTCCGACAGGCGTTGAAGAAGAGAGAGAAACAGACCACTTTGGACATGTTTTTCAAGAAGCCAGCTGCCAAAAGACAAAGGATGGAACAAGAGGAGTTGACCCTGCAAGCCCCAGTAGCCTCTCCTGAATCTGACTCTGATTAAAAAACAATAAAAAGAGACCTGCTGCAATGTGTAAAAAGTCTGTGTCTGTATGAATGTGTGAATAAAGTGATCCTCCACCTCCTCCTCACAACATCTGACTACCCAGCATAATTGGTGACTGCTCCATTTTCATTTTTTTTTTATGGTACAGTACGGTTATTTTGTGCTGCGGAACAAATTATATGTTTTAACATGTATTTCTACAGGAAAATATGTTTCGTATAACGGACTTTTCACTTAACGGACGTTCACCTGGAACGGATTAAGTACGTTATATGAGGCACCACTGTACATTTATTCTGCTCTAAACAATCTGTTGATGAACTCAAAAATGTTTGAAAAGTTTCCAATAAATAAAAAGTATGAATTTATTTGAGTGTATTTTTTTTTATCATCAGTGGATTGTGGAATTATTTTCTGTTTTAAATTAATTTTCAGTTGATTATATTTTTATATTTAAATATTATTTTAAAAAATAATATACAAAATAATTAAAATGATTAGTTTTGCATTTTAAAAATATTGAAATAAAAGTATTAAATGCTTACATTCAAATCATTTTACTTGATCTAGATTAAAATTTTCTTTGGGGCCAAATGGTTCAGAATGTTATATTAGTTCTGATATGTTTTACATTGAAATTATCCTTGAAGCTAATGGTGAAGTCAAAGATTCAAAAATAGCTCATCATGGTGATCCATTGGTTTGTATTATTTCATGAAAAATTATATAAAAATTTTTTATTAAAATTATTATAATTGTATTTTTTTTAACTCCATATATAGAGTTGTTCTGAATTAACTAAAGTATTAAGGTAAATAAAAAATTTTTAATTTTCTAAGTTTTCTCTATAATGGAAGTGAAGTTAAATTATTATTTTTATGTATATATAGAAGTGGTGATTTTTCTGAATTCACCAAACATCTGGAAGGACTTTCAGCAATATATCAGTTGAATGCTGATAAGTATGTATGTTTTAAATATAACAGTTAAATAATAATAAAAATAGAATTAAAAATATATTTTTTACTTTTACAGGAAACAAAAAACAAAAGCATACTTAGCTCTTCATGCTCTCGAAATAGATTTAAGTACATTAGCACAATTACAAAGGTAAGAAAATTTTTAAAATTTGACTTTATCATATGATATAAATTAATATCAAAAGAATAACTAAAACATTATATAACTTACTAACAAAATTAATATGATATATTGTAAATTTAAAATAAATTTTATTATGAAATAAATGTGCACCAATTTGTACATTTTTTAGAATCAAATAAAAGAAACCTTATTTTTGAGAAAAATTGAATTTATATTTTGTATAGTTTTTGAAAGACAAATATTACTGATTCTTAACCCACAACCACATACAGTAGTAGTGATTTTCTGCATTTACTAGTATTTTGCCACAATTTTTCATTAGATTTACTTAGCTATGTTTTCATGATATTCTCATGCTACATGCTATCCAATTGACTGTATAAAAATTTCAGTAAAAAAAAATTTTTCTGCTTATCATAGACTCACAAAAAACTGCTGCAGAAAATTGTCACCTTAGGCATGCAATCACATAATTTTTTTTTACATTATTGTATGCATTAAATGGTGATTTTTCTGCTCTCAGGCTTATTAAAATTTCCCCAAATATGATTATGACATTATGGATGTTTGTGAACTAATCATGATATTGCATTACTATGAACTTGAACACTCATAACAACTCCAAAAGATAGCTAAGGTGTGCTATGATCTTTAACAATTTAAATTTTTTTACAGCTTTATTTTGTGCCCAAAACTTACAGAAAAATCATTTTCTGGTTCTTTTAAGAAATACTTCAGTCTTTCCATCATTTATTTCCAACTGATCTTGTTTCAAATTAGCCCACACTATTACAAATTTTAGGAGTCTTCCTATGGGAGATATTCAAGTATTTGATGATAAAAGTCTGTATCTTATTGACAAGACTGTGTCTTGTTTATAAAATCGTACAGCCTGCAGTGTTATCAGCTTAGAGGTATGAAGGAGTACATGTCAGGAGTTGCAATTTGGCAAAGAGTATTAGGTGCCCAAATCATGCATGCATAAAAAACCCAAACTTGTAGTTAGTCAGGGCACTGAGAAACAAGTCAAAATAAAATACAAAATGGCAACTCTCTCTACAAACAGGCAAACCGAAGTCAGATGGTGAGAGTACAACCCACAGTCGTTCTATGAAGTGGACTCTGACCCTAGGACTGAACATGTAGTATTTTCTTTGTTAAATAAAATTTGTATTCTAATTTTGTAAATTTGGGAATGCTTCAAATATGACATTAAAACAGGGTTTTATGTTGTTACAAGTAGGTTTTTTAACATTATCTAGTATAGTAAAATCGTGGGACCAATAGAAATTTGATGTTATATTAGGGTTGTCGTTAAATCTGATGATGTTATAATCAGGTTAAACTGTATATTGTGTGTGCAAAATAAAAAAAATAATTTTGGACAATACAATAGCCACAATTATTTTTTCAAAAACGGGAAATTTTTTTATGCATCGACAAAAATTCAACCCTGGCCAACACGCAATGGAGAGAAATTTAGAAATTGGATAAGTTAATTTAATCGAAAATGCATTGTGGATGACCTTGTGGTTGTGACTAGCAAAGTTTGAATGAAAATTAAATTGTTCCTCATCTAACTTAGAGGAACAGTTAGCTGATATATCATTATGAACACTTGTTACTACACAACTATTACTGCTATGATAACAATAACTAACTTTACCAGATGGCATACAATATGAACTCCATTCCACATATGCATCATAATTGTTGTGCAAGTATACCAAGACATGGTAGCAGGTGTAACTTATTTTTTGAATCACCCTTGTAATATATTATGTATATTGTTTCTCTAACTTGTTGTTGTTTAAAATAACTTAACTCAAATTTTGAAATAATCAATTTTATTATTTCCATAAAAAATTCTTAAAATTTGATTCCAAATTCAGTTATAAGATGCACCATGGCATCTAAACTAAAGAAATATGTTAGATAGATTAAATTGCATTATGAAAAATATGCTGGAATAATATTTGAAAATTTTCTTGATATTTACAGTGAAATAGAGTTATATTCTTTATGAAAAATTTGTTTCAAACAAATAAATAAAAGTATTCAATTAATTGAGCAATATTGATATTGAATAATAAATGAAATGCTGATATTGGCATTTGCATTATGTTTAACACATATATATTAATTTTGGAAAACAAGTATTTGAAAAATTGATAATGAGAAAATAATTTTATGAAATAGTTTTTCTAGAATTTAATAATTTTACATCAATTAATCAGGTAGAGGAGTTCTTGTGAAGAAAATCAAAAATGCAACTCTTGCAAATTAAGCTTTACAAAATATATTTCTGAATTCTTTTAAAATGAATTTTTCAAATTTATAAGTACTTAAAGATGCTTTTCACTTACAATAAGTGTGATCTGAGTGTCTCTCCTAATTTTTAATTTTTGAGAATTTAAAGATGATAGTGATTAAATGTTATTTTGATGGCAATTATAATTTAAGACCTTATGAATATGAAAATTATATTTATCTATATTGTAATTTCAAAACTAATAAAATTTCTTTCTTTCTAGTACAATAAATGATCCTACCAATTTAGTTCATAAGTCTCCAGTTGGTATTTTACAGTTAAGACAAGGAGGTAAGACTTTCTTAAAACTATTGGAAATATAATTAAATATTGAATGTGGCTATTTATACATATAGTTTCTGATCATTAATTATATATGTTAGTAATTTTATTTGCTATGGCTCATATAAAATACAATAATTATTTTAGCATTAAACAAACTTTTATCACAGTATTTTATAAAATACTTTTCAAAAATTTGGCAAAACAATAAGTTAAATGGAAAAATTGTTTATATATAAATTTTTGAGTTTTTTTATATATAGTCTTTGTTTATATATAAACAAGTAGTTTTTTACCTACATTTATTACAGATAATGTTATTGAAATGATTTTCATAGTCTGATGATTAGTAGTTGTATGATTTGAATAATCAAGTTTTTATTTAAATCGGGTGTCCATCCCATGGCCCAAGGCAAGTTCCAATGCGGCCCAATAAATGTGTAAATAAAATTTACAATTTTTTTTATTATTTATTTATTTCAATGGCATAAACCTCAAAAAAAAAGTTTCANTATTAATATCTTTAGTTTTAAATACAATATTTTTTAATACATTTTATTAGAAAAATTTATAAGAAAGAAAATAGCATATATCAGAACTGACATATAAGCTTGATAATTTATAGCTTTTTGTCAAAATTAACATTGTCTAGTTACCTAGTTTTTTGCTGGCACTGAGACAGAAAACAATTTTTGAGTTCATCTGTTGAACTCAAAAATTGTTTTGTACAACTCTATATAACACTTATGCATGTTTGTTTATTTGTTGTGAAATTATCACACATTATATCAAACATTTGTTTGAAATCAAAACTTTATTTTGCTATGAACTAGTATAATGAACTAATATACTTTATTCACTTCATATCGAACAAGAATATAAATTTTTGTAATAAACATATGATTATCAGTAGTAATACATGTAACATTTGCTGATATTTTAGATTAAAATAAAAAATATATAAAATGTCAGAACTGAAGGTCACAACTTGAATATTTATAACACGTTGACTTATTATAGCTGAATAAACTTATTATAGCATGAATGAACTTATTATAGTATAACTTCTACACGCACACCGGGCTGTGTATAATAAAAATTCAACTAACTCAAGCCTCTAAACGGTGTGAAAAAGGTAAAATTCAAAACAACAAATGTTTTCTGAACACCTTATGTACTCTTCATCAGGTAATCTAGCTGGATTCTTTCTTTTGGAGCACCGTCACAAAGTTTTTAAAATAAATCGAACGATGATAGTTTGATTGTCCAGTGCCCATTGCACACGCATTGTTCCCCGCTGTTCAGATTCGCATTAATTCTTCTCATACGCATGTATTTTTCCTATACGATGCAATATTCTTATGTTTGACATTACATGTCCCCGTGCATCATCTGTTATTAAATAAATCCTTAAGAATCTTTATGCAATAAGGCCTGCCAAAGCCAACGAAAGAGCCATTTCCTCCCAAGAATTAATGCACTCAGATGAAGTGTGCACCTTCTATATCTTTACAGCCTCCAGCCATTTGAGGTGGTCCATCCATGTTGTTTTGACTATTAGCACTGCGCCTTCAAAGTCCACAGTAATGCCTGGGTCAGAAGCATATACTGAGAGTGACTTGGTGGCTCTGTTGTATTGTGTCTGATTTGTGTTCTCTTATTCATAACATATTCACAATCGAGAGGGGTCCTGATAGGCAGTCTGGTGTCCAGAGACTTATGTGAGTTAATGGTGAGACAACTCGAGTCTAGGACCTTTCCAAGATTCTTGCAGGACATGATGCTATATAGAAGATATGTAGATGACATTGTTATTGTGAGAATACGGACGAGGGTCAAGGGTCCAGTCGTCAGATCTGTTAGACCTGCTCACTTTGTCACTGGATGGCTTAATTTTTCTCAGAACCCGAGTGGTAAGATTCTGTGTGGGTTGTGCATAAGTAATGAATACTAGACAAGAAGGACATTAAATATAAAATTAACAGTTTAATTATTACTAACAATACTACAATATAATGGATATAAAGGAATAACATAATACAAAGTAATAACAATATGGGGGATACCTAGGTATGGATGAATCTTATCTCTATGTTAAATTAATCTAACCCGAGAGAGAGAGGTTTACAATCATATTACCTCGTTGTTCATGTTGACCCTTGTTGATCTCTTCGAAGGAAGGTGGAGTCGGGACAGGTTCAGTCGTTTGACTGGGAGCTCTCACTATGGCAATTTCTGAACGAACTCCCCGAGAGTCTGCTAATCAGCCCTTTTATCCCCAATTATTTCATAATATTTTTCTTAGAAATTGGTTATGACATTTCAGCAGGTGGCGTGCAAAATTCCAAGATACGAGGCGTGGAGGAAGGAAGCAAAACATCCTCAGTTCTAGAAAAAGTGCTACATGACAGAGCAGTTTCACAGGATGTAAAAATTTATAACTTTATTAGGTTATGTTTTATTAATTATTCCAAATTTTATCATTCTTTTTATATAGTTGAGTGAAATTCAAATATATTATTTATTACGTTAAAATTATATTAATTATCTCAAGAACACCGTCAGATTGTCACATTATTATATGGAAAACAACACCAAACTTGGCACGGTTTGTTGAAGCGATGAATGATAATCCCTATGGGCTGTCACTTGAAGTGGATCAATAATGTTAAAATCAGGACATCATGCTATATAGAAGATACGTAGATGATGTTGTTATTATATGGAAAACAACACCAAACTTGGCACAGTTTGTTGAAGCGATGAATGATAATCCCTATGGCTGTCACTTGAAGTGGATCAATACAGCGACACTAATGTTCATTTCTTAGATGTTGATATCAGGATTCAGGGACCCAACATCCACACTACTGTCTATCATAAACCATGTGCAAGCCCCACATACATACCGAGTGACTCATTTGACCCGTTCCAATACAAATTAGCTGCTTTTAGATCATTGGTTAGAAGAGCATACACTTATTCATCTACTCAAGAGGCTCTTAGGGAAGAGTTAACACACATTGAGAAGATTGCCGATACACATGGCTACCACAATCTTATTCCGAGAATCTCAGAATGCCACAAAAGAGCACAAATGTCTCAGAACACCTCTGTGTTGACACTGGGGGACAACCACGGTATTGATATTGAAAGGGTTTTGCTTACATTCAACCCCGTCTTGAGATCTGTATATACAACTATCGCCAAAAAATGTAATGTCATCATTACATACAAGAGAGGCCCAACTATGTTTGACATGTTACGTAATGGAAAGGACCCATCTGATCTGATTAAATTGCCAGGCATCTATCGAATCCCTGTTAGGGATGAAAGATTCAGTAGGGATTTGATCTACATGGGATCAATGAAATGCTTGATGGGGGTAAGAATAAGAGAACACAAATCAGACATACAATACAACAGAGCTACCATGTCACTCTCAGTATATGTTTCTGACCCAGGCATTACTGTGGACTTTGAAGGGGCAGTGCTAATAGTCAAAACAACATGGATGGACCACCTCAAATGGCTGGAGGCTGTAAAGATATATAAGGTGCTGAGATATATATATAAGGCCACTTCATCTGAGTGCATTAATTCTTGGGAGGAAATGGCTCTTTCGTTGGCTTTGGCAGGCCTTATTGCATAAAGATTCTTAAGGATTTATTTAATAACAGATGATGCACGGGGACATGTAATATCAAACATAAGAATATTGCATCGTATAGGAAAAATACATGCGTATGAGAAGAATTAATGCGAATCTGAACAGCGGGGAACAATGCGTGTGCAATGGGCACTGGACAATCGAACTATCATTGTTAGATTTATTTTAAAAACTTTGTGACGGTGCTCCAGAAGAAAGAATACAGCTAGATTACCTGATGAAGAACACAGAAGGTGTTCAGAAAACATTTGTTGTTTTGAATTTTACCTTTTTCACACTGGTTAGAGGCTTGAGTAAGTTTGAATTTTTTCTTATTATAGTAATATTATAGCATGAATATGCTAAAAAGTGAAATAAAAAATTATCAGGAAAAAAATAAATTAAGAAAAAAAAGCATTAATTAAAAATTTTTAAGTCAACAAAACACCACCTGGACAAAAACATGTGAAACTGACGATAGACAATTTGCTGCCATCAAGTGCTGACATCTGTTGTTGATAAATTTTTAAAAAATTTATTTTTACTAGGATGCCTATAAATCAGTACCTTCATGGTTTTGCTTAACAATGGGGTACCGACCGATCAGTACCCTCGAGAAGAAAGGGTTAACTGTTAATTACTGAGGCCAATACTCAAACAAGGCAAATTTACAATTTTTCAATTTGTTGTTTACATAGCAGTGTAGGATGACATCAAACATACCTTTGGTCATCTTCCTCATCTCAGTCAGAATTTCTTTTTTGGTCTTATTTTTCTATCTGTCCAAGAGCAGTTTCCAAAATTCCTCAACTTGCCAGCTAGGTGCAGCAGTAATGCCTCTGTTGAGAAAATTCTCAAGATTGTACATTTTTAATTTCTTTTAAATAGTTTTTTTTGTTTTAAAATAGTACAAACCATAGAAGAACTTAGAGAAGGTTTGATGCAAAGATTTTTAACGGTGCTCTCAGCTTTATAACTACTTATAATTTTGTACTTTTTTTCTAAAGTTATTGATTTCTATTTTTTTTTTTTTTTTTTTTATCAGTAACAGTATCATCTCTTATGTTAGACATGTTGAAAGAATACATAAAATACTTAAAAGCACAAAAATAATAAAAACAAACTTATACACAAGCTACAAACAACAATACGATATCTGCTTTGAACAACGACTTATTAAGAAAACGGTCATTCACTAACTCATGCCTATGGAAATATTTCATTAATACCATCTCCCCAATGCAGTAATTAGTCAGATTGTAAAGCTGGAAACTCATAAAGCTGGAAATACTTGTATATATAATGAATATATAATGTTTGTATGTATATATGGAAAAAGTTTTAAATTTAAATATTTAAA